GGCTGAATTACAACAATTCTGCAAAGATGAGTGGGCCAAAATTCCTCGACAGCGCTGTAAAAGACTCATTGCCAGTTATCGCAAACGCTTGATTGCAGTTGTTGCTGCTAAGGGTGGCCCAACCAGTTATTAGGTTTAGGGGGCAATCACTTTTTCACACAGGGCCATGTAGGTTTGGATTTTTTTCCCCCTTAATAATAAAAACCTTCATTTAAAAACTGCATTTTGTGTTGACTTGTGTTATCTTTGTCTAATATTTAAATTTGTTTGATGATCTGAAACATTTAAGTGTGACAAACATGCAAAAAAATAAGAAATCAGGAAGGGGGCAAACACTTTTTCACACAACTGTATGTGTATATGTGTGTGTGTATATATATATATTTGTATATATGTATATATGTGTTAACACCCCATCAGCAGCTCGCGTCTGATTCTGTTTTCTTTCCTCACGGCACCATCTTACTGCAGATCTCATTTAGAAGTGTTCACTTGTAATTATGTTATCAGATCTCACAGTCATTGTGCTGAAACCAAACAAGGCCTGTCTAATTCCTTGTTACTTCATCATTATTAATGAAATAACAACATGAGGGCATTTTAATCACAATGCTGCCTGCGACATTCTCGCTCATTTGACCCGAGTGACGACGTGACACTTGCGGTGAAAACTATAGTGTGTGCAGTTTGAGCCCTAAATTGCTGTCCTCGCCCAGTTGGAGACTGACCTTGTCTCTTCACACCCCTGCCTCTTTGTCTCTCTCTCTCTCTCTCTTTATCTGTTCTCCTTGGTCGACTTCTCTCTGTTTCCCCGCTCTGCCTCTCCCTGTACCAGATAACTTCCCACAGATGGCTCATCAGAAGCGCTTCATCGAGCGGAAATACAGACAGGAGCTGAAGGAGATGAGACGAGAGCGGGAGCGGCAGGAGAAGGAGACCGACGAGCCGGAGGAATGCAGGAAGTGACGGCGCCCTTTTTTTTTATTTCTTGGAGGCGGCCAATCACGAGCCGCGTCCGCACCGAGGAGATCCGACTGCAAAATGTGGCGAGAGTTGGTACAACACAGGTGCCGCTAGTCGGTCGTGGAGCTGTGATAGTTTAGCAATGATGGTTGACTCTTCCCAAAGTTCTGGATGGGAACAGGTGAGCATTAGTCGGGTCACTTTGACTCTTAACCCGGAGATTTAGGGCGGAATTTGTTTTGTTTTTATCCTCGATTGTCAACATGAAAGCAAAGAGAATCAGAAATGAAGCGAGAGGCCGTCATGTTTTATGCTGTTTAGTGCTGTAGCACTGGCCTTATGCTGTCTTATGTTCATGTTTGTTGTAATCTTTAAAATATTGAGTTGACTTTTAAATCCAAAACCACAGCAGGAGCTCACGTTACTGACACACGCCAAACAAATAAGAAACACGTTTTTAAAAGTATGAACTGAATAAACATTCAAATATAAGACTGTAAATAAAGTTTTCAGTGTCGGAAATCCGTTTGTTTTTTTGCATTTGTTGTAATCTGTTCCAGCGCTCTAAGAGGCCTAATCTAGAATAAAAGGGTTGAGTCAATTATATTCAATCACCACAATGTCACCATCTGTCTCACATCTGCCACTCATCCTCTAATAATCAAAATGTGATTTCTTTAGGGTTTTTTTTAACCTCTCTCCAAATCCGATTGGCTGTCTGACAGATCTTAATTATAGATTGTCTAATTAACAATTTCCTCAGCTCGGTAGCCTCTGGATCCAGCTATTTAACAGCGGCCGTTATATGAATTTCTATCTGACGCGTCAAGTCTTTTGTGCTGATGATTTATTGCAGATAATCCATAAATACCTGTGAGGACGGTACGTTTCAGCCTGTGGCTGCTATCACCAGTCAGATAAAAGTTAAATTATCCTCCACAAGCAGAAGTATATAAACCTGTCAAATTATTAAACCTCCACTTAATGTTTTTATCTTGGAAGAATACCTCACAAAGATTGATTTTTAAAGATATTTAATTGTGTCATATAAATATTCAGTACAAAATATCACGTTTTACAAAGCAGCTTGATGGATGGCCCCTTACACTACCACAACCTCTCAAACTGTTTCTACGTTGACAAAACGCCACTGCTCAACCACATCGTCACCAACATCATGTACCGTAGTAGAGGCGAGCCCCGAGGCCGACCGCGTCTACACATCAACAACCACAGAGCTACTGTATCTGGAGGAAGAGGACGTCGGCGCCGCCGTCCAGTCGCCTCAATAAGAAGAAGAAAAACTGAACCGAAGTGTACGTTACGATGTGCACCGTCTTCTGTTCTCTGAGCTGAGCTCGGAGGCAAATGCACTCTCCACAGGACAACATAAGCACGTCTCCGTGATGGCGATATGCTGACACCTCGTATGAAGACAGAGAAATAGTGACGACTGGAGACTGGAGGAGGAAATGCTCTCGGTGAGTACTGCTGTCACGTCGATTTCCATTCGAGAGCTCACGTCGTACCTCGAGGCAGAGAAAGCAGTTTTTTTGGGAGTGAAGGGTTTCTAAACCCATTAAACGCTTATCACAGCAACAGGCTGAAATGGCCACTTACAATGGGAGGTTGCTCCAGGAGCGAGCTAATAAACAAAGCCACCGTAGCCGAGCAGAAGGATTATCCAGCCGCCGTGTTATCAATTGGGATTGTTTAGTGTGCCGCGTCGATGTCGAGCCCGATTCAATGTACAGAGAGAACCTGTGCCACTGTGGCGTTTATTACTCTTTCAAATGTCAGTCTCTTCACAGGTCGGCCTTTCCTTAAGTGAGGGCAGAGCTTGTTTAAGCTCTTCTAATCGGCCTTATCAACCAGCCCACTTTATTCTCACACTGTGTTTTCATAGTTGAAGTAATTTGATAATATTGTCTTGTGTTTTTACTTTTCTTTTAAATGAAGCGTCGTGTGTTCTGGCTGCAGGACAATGTGTTGACCTTCTCTCGGAGCCGAGGACGCCCCTCTGGGTGTAAGAGCCTCATTGGACACCACTCAAAGGTCAGGTGGCCCTTGATAAGCCCCTTTATGGAAAAAGGCTGTTCGTCCCCCAGGAAATCAGTCCGGTGAACACCGGCTTCATGTTCAACACTACATACAGCAGCACCGGTACTGGAGGGCACGGAGCAGCGTTCACAGATCGTTTAAAGGAAAATACTGGTGGTGTTTTGGCACATTTCCACCAACTGCTATGTTACATTATTATACATTCAGGGCAGAGCCCCTCTCAGGACACATGTAAGAAAAACTTATCATACTTTTCTTTTCTGGATGCTGTGGGTAATGTGGTACATTGAAATGGTTATTTAGAAGAATCTGACCCCCAAACAACACAAATCTTAGACATCTGGCCTTTTCTCTTGCTGTAGATTTGTCTTTAGGATTTAAGGCAACTTATTTGATTGACACCATAGACTCTGAAGTATAACAGCTGAACATATGGACAGAGTAAAAGTTTAAACGTGTATAATTCCCAATCATAATCATTGTTCCTGCTCGGGACATTGATTCAGATGCTACTTTTCATGTTTCTCTTCATCACCTGAACAGAAGAAAATCAAATAGCACGATGAATTTTAATGGTAACTGTCCACGAGCTCTTTCATCTCCAATTTTATGCCGTAGTTTCAAGCTCACTGGGAGTTAATGGGACTTTGACTTACAGCATGCTGTACAGAGAGAATCATTTACTGAGAAAAGTCCAACAAGACCAGTATTTTCCTCTTAACTGAGCCTGGTGCATCTTTATCAATGTATTTTAGAAAATCACTTTTTTCCTGTACTTCATTTTTCAGCCAGAGAGTTGGCTGCAAAGAGAAGAAATGATTCTGAAGACATTCGGCTGAAGAAGGAAGTATTTGGTATTTGGCTCACCTCACAGCGAACGCTCGAAGCAGGACGGAGATGAGAATCAGATCCTATAAAACATGACTAACTGGTGTGTTTGTGAATGTTTGTTGCGGCCATCAATTCCATATTTTAAAACCACATCTAACACAAATTTGATTCCATCCAATCTTTTTCATCGATGCCAACATTTTGTGGCACTTGTGGCTCGAGTCGTGCTGAAAGAGGGGATCGTTTGGACATTAGAAATCCCTAGAAAAACAAAACCACTGTACAGCGTATTGTATCATATTACCGTACGTACACAAGCAAAGATAGAACTCACAATATGCAGCATGTTGTCCCAGAAACACTGAAGAATACATAGGCATATCTGTTGGTTCACAAAGCTGCTTGTTGAACGTGTCCACCACACGCAGCTTTGGAAAAAACTAATGAAAAAAGAAAGTACCAGTATAGATATATTTGGGCCTCATGTACACCCCATATACACAAAAACAGTCTTGACACAAAGTCTCTTTTCACTGCACCCTGGCAAAAACGCAACTAACACTGATTGGACACACAAAGCCTACGTCTGGTCACCGGAGGGACAACTGAATAGTGAGCGGTGGCGGTGAAAGAGCACGTGGACAAGCGGTGCTTGTTTTTCGGTCCTCTCGCCATTTTTCTCGCCACACGTGCACCACAATTGCCCGAAAGGTTTTTAAGGAGTTTCATTTCACTTTTCCTCTCCTCGTCTGTGTGCCAGGCTCTCGTTAGGAATCCCTGTCGCTGTCGTCGCCCCCGTACATGTCCGCCAGTTTCTTAAATCGGGGTCCCCACTCGCTTAGGTAGTTGTAGTCCTGGTCGCCATCGGTGGTCACTGACTCGAGTGAGCTAAGGGACTCCGCCACGGAGCCGTTTCCCTCGTAGGCGTAGGTGGCCAGGGAGTCGTAAGGCGGCGCCGTTGGGTCGTTGTCGTTGTCCTGGAGCCTCTGGTTGATGAAGTCTCTCACGTCCCCGTTATTGTCCCGGATCGGGGGCAGCACGGGCCGTCGAACCGCAGGGTAGAAGGTTTCAGGGACGATGTCCCTCCGTTGCTTGCTCTCCTCAATGGCCTCTGGGTTGCGCAGCGTGCCGATATCAAAAGCCTGAGTGTCCTCCTCTCCACCCCCTTCATCGTTGTAGCTGACGACGTTGTCTCTGACATCCTCTTTGGAGATGATCAGAGGCTCCTTCTTCCTCTGTCTCCGCAGGGCAGCAAACAGCACCACGATCACTACAGGGAGAACAAAAAAAACAGAAAATAAGTAACAGACTTTGGTGACTTTTGCTGATGTTTCTTTGCTCCCTCTTCTTTTTCAGAAGGCCAGTGACCGTCCAGGGGGATTTGTTGATGTTGCACAAGTGTTCACTGATGTTCACGGACTTTGTAGAAACAAGCTCAGCTACCACAAGGATGCATTATGCATTTTCTGTCCTCAGGGCCACTGCTGCTTGAGATCACAAAAGAATGCAGTTTAAGAAAAAATACATTGTATGCCAGAAACACAGCTTTATGTAGCATTACAACACTTGAGCTATGGCACAATTCAATTTTGGTATACAATTTGGCACCAATTGAATTCCAGAACAAGAGTGAAGCTCAAACACATTTAGCACAAATGCACCGACTCTCTCACTGCTTGAAAAGGGTCATAGTTGAAAAATGTCTAAAAGAAGTCACGTTATAGTATGTAGAAAAATGTAACAACAAAAGTCAAGTGCCACATTTTTTTAAAGTCATCGTATAAAGTCATAGTATAGCATGTCGAAGAAAAAGTCTCTGAAACAGTGATACAACAGGAAGCCAGGGTTTATAGTATTAGCACCGTGTATTCGAGTGATCCTTTTGAAGCTGACCTAGCCTCTGTCGGACTAAGTCAACATCATATCATTCAGTATTTCTATGTTCATCAAGATGCAGAAGCCTTACTGCATGGCTTGCATCCTAATGGTCAGTGAAAAGATGACTATTGGAGCAAATTTGAATGTGCTTTTTTTTTTGATTCATCAGTAATTGAATTTAAGCCTTACTCACAGACATAAATACCTCATAAGTGCTATTTCTGTTTTATCCTAGAGTGGACGGTTTCTCAATATTCTGATATGATTGAGGTTGAAATCAACTATGTGTGATGAGGAACCAGAGACCACCTTTCTGTCTTGTTCGGACTGAGCAGGAGTCTTGTGTAAAATGTGCACTTGTCCTTTTCATCCTTAAGATGAAAGATCTGGCTAAATAAAGCTCAGATTGAAAAACAAATGTCCGCAGCTGGTTGCTCCTCATGCAGTCTGTACTCACTGAGCAGAATGATGACACAAAGCAAAATGGCCACCAGGGCCCCCGTGCTGAGTCCCGCCCTCGCTGTGAGTGCCTCGGCATTGCACAGCTTCATGTTGCCCTCGCGGTCGCAGGTGCACACTCTGATGGTCAGCGTGTTGGTGCTGCTTTGCATCGGGTACTCTCCGTCGGAAATGACCACCGGCACGTGGTAGATGCTCTTCTGCAGGCTGTTGTAGCTGTTCCTCCGTGTTAGGATCCAGGCCGTGTTGTCTGAAAAGAACAGGATGTCCGGTTACTATGCAGCAATCAATAACCTGAATTAATATTTCAATAAACTCTACTAGAAATGTAATTTGGTTTGTGAATGTGCTTTTAGTGCTGCGAGATGAAAAAACCCTATAAAATCAAATCATGTGCACTCGAGGTGGTTACGTTCAACAGAAGGTAGAAGTGCCTTATAGGAACATTATACAAAAGATTGAAGTAAATGAAATAACCACAAGCATCAGCTGCGAGTGTATCACCTTTGTTGTCACGGACGGAGAAGTTGGCCTTCCCAGCAGCCTCCTGCGCGAGACTGAAGAAGAATCGCTGTCCTCCGAGCGGAGTGTCGGGATCTGTGGCGCTCACGGTTTGTATCCTCTGGAATAAGAGACGGTCGGGTAAGCAACACAATAAACACAACGGGCTGTGCGTCAGGCCTGCTCCGGATCTCTACGTTCTCACAGCATGTTGCCATTATGGCCAACGCCAGCTGTAGTCCGTCTAATTAACAAAGATACTAAGCGTGTTAGAGGCTTGTGCTTCATGTTAAGATTCCCTGAAGCATGTCACTCTGCACCATGTGTACTTTTACTTTTGGTGCTTTAAGTATATTTTGATGTTAAACTTGTCATATAGTATTTATTCACTGTTGTATTGCTGCTTCTACTTCAGTAAATGAAAGGAGTGCTTCTTCCACCACTGCAGCTGAGGTCCAATGTCTAAGAGATAACATCACATGTAGCCTTTTTTAAATGTGGTTTCAACATATAATTCTTAGAACAAGTCAGAGCTCGGGTCATCACGCTTCCCATGAGCACAGCAACATTTGATTCATTTGAACATTTGAACATTTGATATGTGTGTGAACACAACATATGTGATGCAATTTACAAGTACTGAAACTGAAGACTCGGATTGTCAAAGTTGATGTGTATTGCGTTGCAGCAGTTTTGGGTTTCCAACAAGGATTGGCAGCAGCACAACTGAGAAGACTCACGATTGTGATCTGTGAGTATTACAGATATAAACAGTCTATAAAGCAGCCGTTTCCTTTTGACCTGCAGATGTGTTCTTCACTCTTTTTGGAGAAACAATCTGTTCTGAAAACTATTTATTTAGATGTACGTGAGCTTTATGCTAAAAAGAAGAGTCCCCAGATGTATTAGTTATCCTCCCCATCTACTGTAGAACTTCCTGAAAGCTTCAAACACACATGCTGTCTGATGTCTGCTAATGCTAATTACATGCTGAGCAGGAAGTGGAGATGAGACCATGACTACCGCTTTGTGCTCGGTCATACCGACCTGATTAGCCTTAGCATTCTCGCACACAAACGTCTCGTAACTGGTGGCAAACGTTGGAGCGTTGTCGTTGACGTCCAGCACCCTGACGTAGACGGGAACGCGGCTGAGCTGGCGCGGGTTGTCTGGGAAACACAAGAGGTGGGAACAGGGAATTATTTCTTTACCGAATAAAACTGAACCACAGCGCATATGAAATGTGTGTGTGTGGCTGTCGCCTGTCTCCATGCACACAGCAATGCCAACGTTGTTAGGCAACGAGGTAATTGTGATATTTATACCATTATACAAAGTATATGCATCAAGTAGATGACATAAAGTAATACATTTAAGGTGTATACAACTTGTTTAGTCTCTATTTGTGCTCCACATTACGTATTTTCATGCAAGTATGAAAACTCCACCAGGACTGTAAGGTCTCACATTAAAGCCTGAATTCAAATATTGCTATAAAAGTGTGTAAGTGAAAATCATTGAGGTGGGCTGTGTAAACAAATAGCTTGGATGATAGAATTCAGCATAATATTGCATATTCAATAAACAGAGATATCTCCTGAGTATATCAGCATATTTGCTTTGCATAGTTGCGTTCAAGCGTTGAGGAAAACTCAATGTACTTGTGTACTTTTATTGTGAAGCTCTCCTTGACGCTGACACATGTACACATTTTTAAAATTGAGTTTATTATCTTTTCTAATTCTTATTTTTATAATATTCCTTATTGCACACCAGATTTATTTACACATATTGAGCATATTAAAAAGGACAAATACTATAGTTATCAGTTTATATTTTGCTTTTCTTCTGATCTGTGTTGAGGTACTGTCAGTTAAACTCATCATTTCCTGCCGATGTTTCACATTAAAAGTCTGCAAGTAGAGTTGAGGGATTATAGCGTTTCAGCGACTGGAAACGGCTCGTAATGTTAAACATGTTCCTGTGCAAGAAGTGTGGAGTCACTGACATTAAGATAACAATGACACTCAATACTTCCTGTATACCTTTCACATTAAAAGCCTTCCAGCAGCTCAAAGGGCATAGTACCGTCCCTTTCCATGTTGGCTTTTAATGCGAGTCTGCAGGAAGTGCTGTGTAATTGATAGTAATGCCAAGTCAGGGCAAGTAAAACATATTAGTGAAAGAGAAAAAGTCAGAGCAGCAGACCAGTGAGTACAACATGACTTTGCTGTTGCACCAAACTACAGGACATTACAAGTACACATGAAGGAAGTTATTACAATTAGGATTTGTCTTTTTTGGGGGGTTTACGATATTTGAGTCCTACACAGGGAGGGAAAACAAAACACCAGCCAGCAGCCAATACTGGGTGAACTGGCAGATCTGGGTGACTTTTCTAGTACTCTACAAAACCTGGCGAGAATGTATTCCAAAAATCCAATTTGGCCAACACAGTGGGAGGAAATTGGTGACCAGAAAGAGAACCGCTTCCCATCATGCTGCACTTACTGAACTCTGTGGAGATGACGGAGATGTTGTGCCAGGCGTTCTCTTCTCTGTCCAGCTCCCTGAGGATGAACACTGACCCGTTGCCTGCATGGACGTTGAACATTCTGTCCATGTCCGTGCGCCGATCAATAGAGTACCTGCTCAAAACACACACACACACACACACACACACACACACACACACACACACACACACACACACACACGGAGATTGGCATCTAAACTCGAGCACTCAGGCTGTGTGGAAGCCTGTGGTGTTCCCTCGGTGAGGGATTCAGGAACAGTCATGTTTACAGAGTTTCATAGGAGTGAAAATAGTCACATTTACTGTCTCGCTTCCATTGACATTTGTGTCATTAGAGGGGTGTCAGTGGGCGGGAGGTACTCCAAACAAGTCTGACTAAGCATGATGGACTCGTCTGCACTCTGCCATTATTTCCTTTCTTTGCTATTCATACCACACAAGAAGGCATTAAGAAAAAAAAGATTAATTTTTTTGCATCAATCCAAGCAGCGGTTTGCCCTCAGAAGAAAGGCCAACTTTGTTGAAGAGAACGAAATTGGTTTTCACCTGCACAAGTGAGCCAAACTAAAGGCGGTAATAAACCGCTTCCAAACATTGTTAGACGAGTGTTTGAAGGGTCACGCTACACAAATCACACAAAACACACACCGTATCTTCTCAATTACCCTTTGTGTTGCAGATAGTTTCAGGTTTGCATGCACGACTTTAGATCTGATACATCTGCTGCCACACAAATACATGGTGTAGGAAGTTATTCTCTATTTCACCTTTATTTAACCAGGATTATCCCGGTGAGGTTTAGCATCTGATTTACGAGATGGCAGCGTAAAAGTTTCTCAAATGTAGCACATGAAAACACAAATCACAGACTTAAAAATACAAAAAAACAAAAGCAAACAGCAATTTGCATCAACCAAAGAATTATCATTCAGGGTCAGTACAAGAACATGCAGCGCTCAAATAATCCGTAATCTTTTTTTTGTTTGGTTTATTTTGCATGCTTATAAAATAATCTAGTTTAAAATAACCTCTGCAGCTCACACCAAGACGAGCGTTCAAAACTTTAAAAGAGCTTTCGCCAAAAACGGTACGGGTTCTAGACTTTGATCTCACACTGACTTCAAATGCATAAGTACCAATGTCTTGAACCCACATGGAACTATCTGCACGAGTAGATACGACAAGAGCTCAGTAAAAGGCCATACATGAACATATATGGTATACTGGCTTCCGCGGGGCTACCAGCCTTGAATAGTCCTGTCCTGTGGTGCTGATAGATGTATGTAAGTGTTTGCAGTCACACAAACACACACGAGTCAACAGGTTATCCAGTCGTGTTGTTTTCCTCTGCTTCCCAGACTACAGTGATACATCAGTGTGATTAATGGAGTAGCAGGCATCAGGAGGGGCCGGCGTAAGAGGGAGGAGACCCCCAGGGGGAGACTATGAACCCCGGCTGTTAATGCACCGCCGCACCGCTCTCCCGCTCTCTGCAGACCCCCCCCCCCCTGCTGATCCTACTATTTTAGTGTCTTTATCTAAACACTCCCTCCTCGTCTCCGCCTGCCTCTCCTCTCCTCCGCTCTCACCACCTCGACGGCCCGACAGTAACTCTAACCTCGTTAAATCTGCGTCGGCCGTCGGCTTTACTAATTGCTTTTCTAATATTCCCAATAATTCAGCTGGCTGGGCCGAACCCTTCCCCTGATTAATGACGGAGAGATAACAGCGCGCCGCGTCCTGACCGGGCACCCAAAGTGCTGCCCTCAGCAGGCAGGCAGCTGGCTGGATGGGAGGCCAGGCGGAAGGACACGGAGGGTTACAGAAATGTTAGTGATCAGCGGGTTGGGACGTATATCCTCTTCCCTGCCTACAGAAGCTGCACGAGCGGCGGGTATTATCAAGAGATATTCTTCATTACAAGAGTCAGTATGAACCCAGCAAAAGGTCAAAAGATGTCCAGCTTGACCTTTGGCTATATCTGGATGAAAGACTTGCAGATGGTAAGGTGTAATACGACTACATTGTGATGAAAAGCAACTTTCAGTCCATTTTTTAACACAAATCTTTTTCAAATGACCAAAACCTCACTCACCTTTGTGTATGAACACGGTGCGTGTCAGCACAACCCAAAGCCCGATACAGAACACACTTTCAATAAATATTCAATCGCTACATTGCGCCATTTTCAAGCCAAACAAATCAAAACTTTACAATTTTTTATTTTTCCAAAAGTCCGTCCTTGGTAAGCTGAAGACGGGAAACGGCATTTTGAATATTGCAGCACTAAAATGCTTCATTCATAACTGGGGGGGCTACTAAAAGAGTTAGCAGCTTTTCAAAACTCTGGGTTATTTTTCCCACTTGTGCATACTATTAAAAAAACAACATTCCTGTATTCAAGTTTATAACCTTGAATAGTGTTCATGTTTTAGGGGCTTGAACATCCGTAATATGTTTCCATCGTACCGGCTTGGGATGACACCAACTGACTAGTTAACATCAAATAAGAAATAGTATCATCAGCTGTAGATCATATATCTATCATATGTATCATAGATCCTTGCATACTGAGGGATATAAGTGTTTAGATCCCTGCCTCTAACTGCTGCTGTCTGCGTGTGCTGTGGCAAGCTATTAAAGATAACCGTCTCAGTGACTTCCTCATGCCAGGCAGCCCCCGGGCTTCCTGGCCATCCTCCTCCTCCTCTGCGTGGCTTTAAATGCCACGGGGTAGCTACCTCCTTGATGATGGGCGATAAAAGAGAATGATATCATATTTGACACCTGCAATAAAGTGGTGGAACTTCAACCTTGAGAGCCAACTCCCTTAGTGCATCATAAAAATGAAAAAGTCTTTGAGACGGAGTGGAAGGTGCTGCCTCATACCCCGCTGCCATTACTCCCATATAATAGAATACTTGCATAGTTTTGTACGTGCGTGAACGAAGTCTTGTCAGTGAACTTTGTCTCTCTCTACTAAGGGCACATAATGTATTTTAATACTGTTTATTGCGAAGAAAATCTAAGTACAAACAAACATCCACTTTGGTTATCATGAAATCACGTAAGAATCACTGTGTCACGGAAAAAATCCTTCTTGCCAGCCTTCAAGTAATGCGTTTGTGTCAGGCAAGCAAATCCTCGTCCCATGAGGACGCAGCAGCTAGCAGCTACTAGCAGCTACTAGCAGCAACTAGCAGCTACTAGCAGCTACTGGCAGCAACTAGCAGCTACTAGCAGCTACTAGCAGCAACTAGCAGCTACTAGCAGCTACTAGCAGCAACTAGCAGCTACTAGCAGCTACTAGCAGCAACTAGCAGCAACTAGCAGCTACTAGCAGCAACTAGCAGCAACTAGCAGCTACTAGCAGCAACTAGCAGCAACTAGCAGCTACTAGCAGCAACTAGCAGCTACTAGCAGCTACTAGCAGCAACTAGCAGCTACTAGCAGCTACTAGCAGCAACTAGCAGCTACGTGACGACACGGAGAGGCGACCGTTTGTTCAAAACTCTGAAAGAGGTTAGCGTAGATCAGTTAAAGCAGAACTGGAAGGTATTCCTTCATTGAAAGAGGAGCAAAGAACTGCACTGATGGCTTTTCTCAATGGAAAAAGTTCTTCACTCTTCTCCCGACAGGCTTCGGCAACAGTTTGACTGACAAATGGTTCATCCAATCACCTGCCACGGCCATTGAATGCATTAAATGGCGTCCTCTAGACTAAAAATTCCTCCAGTTTAAAAATGTGTCAGTATTGCCACTAATATAATATCTGTGATTCGCTTAGTAGCTTCTCCTTAAGCTTCTGGCCACATCCCATGGCCCGACCTTCTTACTGTGGGATAGGCCATGGTGTTTGACATGCCAAAACCCTGATATGGTCCCTTAAGATGTGACGTGGTTCAGTACCTGACAAGGCTGTTCTTGTCGTCCGGGTCGGACGCGCTGACGGAGCCGATGGCGGTGTTCCTGGCTGCGTCCTCTTTGATCTCCATGACGTAGCTGGCGTGCTCGAACACCGGCGGCTCGTCCACGTCCTCCACAATGATCTTGATGGTGGCCTCGTCCCTGAAGGGGCCCACGGAGGAGAAGCGGGGGTTGAAGTGGGAATTCTCCACCTGAATACGGAGGCTGTACTGACGCTTCCTCTCAAAGTCCAGAGGCTGCAAAAAACAGAAAGCACTGTAAGTATAGTGAGTACAGTATGTATGGCTTCCCTAACACCCGCCGGCGACATTGAAAAGCATGTTTTCTTTACACAATGGCCAAAACTACACCATCAAATTTGTCATATTTCTGACAGTCCTTGAACACCTCATGTGCGACGAATGCTTCTGTCAGAGAAGGTAACCAAAACGAAGCTTAAAATTGTGATATTTCATCGAAAACATTTTATTCTGCATGTCTCATTTAAAATCCTGCATCAAATGAACCTTTTGCTTGAACCAGATCCTGTAAAAAACATTACATTCTAAGCTCCTCAGCGCAACTAGGAAGCCATGATTGATTTGCCTGTGACCAACAGTCATGTGACAAAAATCCAGTGAAAGGCTGCTGAACACAGAGCATTGAGGAGAGGACACGAGAGGCTGTCAGTGGAGGTTGTACAAATGTAAATAGTTCAATGTATACAATGTTTTTGTGAAATAAATTATCATAGTTCATATCATATAATTTGTGTCATGGTAACCGTGTTATACTACACGAAAGACATTTTTGAATTCGCTCTGCTTCTAGCCACGATTGTGCCGTTTCCTGAGAAGTGCAGGACTTTAATATTGGAGTGAAAAATGAGGCCACAGAGCATAAAATGTGACAGGAGCAACTTTAACAGGGTCATTAACATGTTCCCAGTTCTACATGTGCTCTCCCAGGGTCCTATGTTCCGAAGGTCCTATGTTGCCCCAACCCATTGCTGTTCCAAACTCGTCACATAAGGACACTTGATCAGGACCCCTTGGGTTTCAGCAACACATTAGGTTTAGGTAAAGATTGTCGATTGGGTACAAATGTTGTGTTTTTGACAATCTGAGAATGAGAATGAGTTCCAGCTCTAACCTGAACCTGAAAAATAGGTTTCACAGCTCTACTCGCTGAAGATGACATGCTATAACTCGTCAAAGGGAAAATAGCACAGTGTTGAACACTGAACCCCGGGAAAATAAGTCCCTGACAACATCAAACCTTTTGTATTGTTTACTTAATGTGTGCTGACAGACGTTCCCCCTTGAACTGTGACGTTGCATGCTATTGTGTTTTTGTTTTCTTGAAATAAAAAGAAGTTTCTACAGTGACTTTTTGTTTGCCCCTTAACGTTTACTTTGAAAACTCTCATTTGTATGCAGCAACACGTTCAGCTGTTGATTTTGTGTAAACTCGCATCCATTCAGAGCATCCTGCCGCATTTAATTTCAGGTCAGATTGGGATTTTATTCATTAAACTGGCAATCGCTTCCCGAGCATCGTCTAATGAGCGCGTGTGAAGGGGCTCAGTGTCTCTTTCAAGGACACTAACAAGACCGTTGATGGATACACATGGGCTGCTGCATGGATCAGACCTGTGCCCTTTTGGACATGTAAAGGCCTTTCATTAACTACACATCCAGAATAATGTGACTGATGTGGCATTTTGGCAACAACACTGTTGGGTTACTGTACAAAAATGGCATGGAAGTATCTTTAGCGAGGGACTCTCAGCGTATATAAATGAGACAAATATTGTATGTTAGGTAATTGTTGTACTGTCTTTTATTGAGTCTTATTATTGCAGTTATCAAGCATTAAATGTAAGATTTTCTTTTGCACTTTGTTTCTGTTTCTTCAAGCAGAAAACAAAGACATGCCAACTTCTTGTTTGTGCTTTTCAACCTGATTTCCTGATCCCTGCCAAACTCTGTGAAACAATCAAAGTTGTGTCTTGCTGTCTGCCGGCTGACATCTGTTCATTTTCCGTTGTTGTTTTGATTGAAGAGATCAGCGTTTTGGATTAGTGAATAAGAGAAAATATCGAGTGTCGGTGGATGGTGAGACTTTGGTGTGCCGTTTCATTTGAATGCATGATGGAAAGTACAAAACAAAAAAACATCTCCCACTGTCATTTTTCAGGGAGTATCAAGGTTGTGAGCATTTCTACATTGGAATCTATTAATAAGGGCAAAAGATTGAAAAGAACTGAATTGTACAAAACAAAGTATCATGACTGGTATTACGTTGAAGGACACATCTGTTCAGCACCACCACATCTGCACCTAAAATATAGATGATGATGATGACAAAGCATTGTGTGAAATCACGTAGAAACGTTTTGTGGTCGTTTTTGCCAGTAAATATATGTATGTTTAGTAATATAATGTATATTTATTCTAGACTGTTTTCTGTTGGTGTACAGACTTTCAAGCAGCTTTGTTATTTTTTCATGTGTGATCCCCTATAATCCCACATCTTCTGCACACTGCTGTTACACTTCTATAATTGATGGACTGCACACAATGATTAGTAGCCTAATTCCTGCATGGCTGCTAATGTTTTCAGTCCTTGTGCATTTCAGTGCAGGTTGGCGGTGTGTTTAGCTTTTATGTTTCTTTTATAAGCTTTTTTTTTTTTTTTTTGAAGTTGTAGCCACTGAAGGTATCCCCTCATCGACAGGAATAATTAGGGAGCGGTGCATTTTAATGACTGTGCACCCAGCGCTGAGCAGGAACAGCTGGATCACAGTTAGGCTTCCTACTGTACACATGAAAGAACGCCGGGTCCGCCATCGTTGGGAAATGAAATGAAATGAAAGCGTGAAAAATCCAGATGGAACGAGTCGTTTTTCGGAATCCATGAATAACATCATGAGTCGGTCATTTCTCGCCGTCCCGCGTTAAGGCAGGCGGGGTGTCGGACCCCACGTCAATGGGAGGAATATGTTGCTTCGAAGGACCGGTTAAAAGCGGAGATGGCACACACTCCCACTTGACAAACCCATTTAATTAGTAGGTCCATAATAAGGGCATGCTCAGTCCTCACACCACATCCACTACAGCCGCGGCTACAAAAGGCAATTATGCCATCTTGCACTTAATGATGGCATGATGGAGGCGATCAATCGGAGACGGCAGAGAGCGCGCTTGACAAGGCAACTGCCAGGTTCTGTTGAACACATCAGAAACACACCGCAGCCCACCGCTGAATGCTGCGATCCATACCGAGCGTCAATGTTTTTGCTTTGGTCTCAGCCGAGAGGAAAAATGAACCTCACTCAAAACACGTGTACTGGGAGTGGAGGCAAGTGTAAGTTGGAATCGAATAAGTCCGCTGTCCATCCGCTGGCTGTCAGAGCGTATGGAAATCATAAAGTTCCTCTCACTTTGCTTCGTTACTGAGTGCAGTTCATTGTGTCGTTTCCCCTTCGTTGGCCAGATGAGGAGTGTGATGCGCACGAGCTACAGGCAGGTCTGGCTAGGTGGGATGAAGTCGAGGGTTAAGATAAGAACAACGCCACAAACAAAAGTGAAACAATGTGAATGCTATTTCCTGCATTTAGTTGTATCATTCGAGCAAATACTTTATAATAATATTACGATGACATCGTAGTATTGCTTCAACTCTTTTTAAAATGGTAAATGTTAAATTAAAGCATGCTGTCAAACCCCATTTCTGATACTATTTACAGTCTTACAGTTTCACTGATGGTGGCGGAGTCCACCAGTACTTAAATTGCCTTCATACACTTGAAGGGATTTACTGGTGTCTTGCTGCTCTGCACAAAGGTTTTCAACTGGCAAAAACATATTATTGTGAGGCCGTCACCACGTTTAGCACCTGCTGTGATCGTTTATCGAAAATATGTCTACAAAACAAGACATGGTCATTTTGGGATTTACAGCGAATCCGTTTTTTAAACATTGCAGAATACAGGAGGAGCATCCGTGGTGAGCTGTTAGATGAAAAGCTGCAGGCGATAGGCTGCAAACCTCCAACTCTACAGCAACGCAACCGACTCTGCTACGTCCTGCTGTCGAGTGGAAAACGTCTCGCGCCACATGTGCAGCGTGAAATCAGACTGCGGTTGCCCACAGCCTGATGGAAGAAGGTCGATTATTGACTGATCTCTTTTGTGAGCTGTACACTGACATGCAAGTTGCTCTTCCATTGTATTTCAGACAAAGTAGCTGTTCAAGGAGTGTTTGCTGTTGTATTACACTGCACTTGTTTCCACCAGTAACCACCGGTGTCGCCGAATCAACCACGACGAAAACCTTTAAGGTTCTCTGTACGATATCCAGAGCATTAATATAGCAGCAAACAGCTCTCCCTCTGTGTGTGTTCTGTAATCTAAACTTGTCCTCGCAGGCTAGCTCTGCTAGCACCGTAGCTGCTAGCAGTCCCAAATAAACTCGACCAATCAGAGGTTAGGGGCAGCCTGATGGATGAAACTCAGGGCTAAAAGGTGATCGCAATATCAATGCTTTTTATCCATTCAGAGCTTCTCTCATCTGGATTTTAGCAGCAGTAAGATGACACTGTTTAGTCATTTTAGTGAGTAAATCAAATGGGATTTTGAAAAGAGAGGAGGACGTGTCCCCCGGTTCCCCAGTGGAAACTAACCCCTCACTCTAAAAAACCCTCACAGGCCACAATCAGAGAGTCGCTGACCTTCCTCAGCAGGATGACGCCCTCCTGCGTGCTCCTGTTGGTGGTGACATCAAACATGCCGGGGCCGTCGCTCCCGATGATCCTGTAGTCCATCTCCGAGTTCTCGCCGATGTCGGCGTCCATGGCCCGGATCACTCCCACGGCAGACCCGAGCTCGATGGACTCGGGCACTCTGAACTCGTAGAGGGCTGGAGAGAAAGAATATTGTCTTCGTTATTTTGGCGTTTGCATGAAAAGATGAACAAGAAAAAGAAAAATTTTTGAGAAGTTTGGAGTGTAAGTGAGTCAGAGATTGAGTCAGGTCACGCCCCTGTTTTCCACACAAAGATGTGATTCCTTCAAGATTCCTTTTATCACAATAAAATGTAAAATCGAAAAGCATCAAAGGCCTTAAATAAACCCGAGATTAACTCACAACGACAAAGAGAATACACCGCCACCCCTGATACCGGTCGTGCATCATAACCTGCATATATTTTATGACCCTGTTAGTGGATAAAAAAAAAGAAAGTGTAAGCGGGTGAGTCAGAGAGCAAGAATACAAGGGAGCAAGTCAGGGAGAGGGTGAGTCAGAGCCAATCAGAAAGCAGCACCATGCGAGCCAGACCGGGAAGGGGGAGTGTGTGTGAAAAGGAGAAACCGTGTGGGAGATTTAGTGCTGCAACGTTTGTAGATCAGCTGCGGAGCAGACATTTCATATGCGCTGAAACATATTTCATTTCCAAAACAGACATTTGGCCTTTCACGTTAAGTTGCTACAAGCGTTATTGACTCACTACTCAGGAGTTTAGGATGTAACATAAATTCGGGCCAATTTTGCTCAACGTAAATTAATTGCTTCTTCTTCTTCTTCGTCTTTTTTTATTTTTTTATTGTGTAAGATGATTTCCTGGTTTGAGGCGGGTAAATTGATGGCTGCCTGTCGGCCGCGGCGGCATCTCGTATGCTTAAATAAATAGCTGGACCGCGGGAGGGAGCGGGCGCGATATACACACAGCCTGCAGAGACAAACAGCACTGACACACTAATAAAACATGCTGACAGTGTTTTGGCAACGCCTGAGTCGGCAGGTCTCAGTGACGCTGACACAAACACACACACACACACACACACACACACACACACACACAGTACGAGAAGGTTTCCCTGGGCTAACAGGTATTTAGCAATGGGTGGAAAAGAAGAGGCATCACTCCGGCAGACAACAATGATATCGCTTCCTGACACTCTACCTCCTCTGGGTGTCCCATTACAATATCTCTTCCTCTTTCTCCTTCTTTCAAGCTTCCCCTCTGTCTGCCCCCCACACACTCCCTCCATCACAGGCTGTCTTTCTGTCGCCTGCATCACTCTTCTTTCTTCCTCTATCTTCCCCTCCTGTCACCCTCCTCCATCCCCGTCTCCTCTCCTCGCACTGTTCATTCATTGGTGGAGGGGCTGAGATGACAGCATCTGCACCCCCTTTCTCCCCCCCCCCCCCCCAAGCTAGGGGGAGGAGGGAGTGATAAATGGGGGGACGGCGGGGAGCTCTGCGGTTGCGTGTTCGCCTCGCTCACTGTACAGTCGCCGCTTGCCGTTACCGAAGGGGGAAACGCGACGACACCAGTAATCTGTCAATCTGATCCGGCTGCCATTTGCCAGATGCGCGACAGAGGAAGAGGAGGAGGAGGGGGGGGGAGAAGTAAGGGAGACATTGTGTTATACTGAAAGTGAGTATAGAAGGGGAGGATTGATGATTGATGAGCGAGAGGGTAACAAAAAGAAAGGAAAAATGCACCAAGGACAGTTGGAGCACTAAATTGAGAACTTGGGTTTTATGGAGTAAAAGGCAGCAGAAGAAAGACTCAATAGTGTGGGATAGACAAAGGGAGAGGGAGAGTAGAGCAGATAAAAACCAGTGAATGTACTCTCTTCATTTAATAGGGATTACGGGGCTGATCTGATGCACTTTGCAGGACCCTTCGCTCTGTCATATGGCTCTATATTTAATTATTCGCTGCCTTTAAGAGGCCCGCCTTAGTCGCACAAAACCCAGAGCTCCCTGCAATAATCCAAATTCATTTTGAAACTGACACCAGATGGGGGCTGCCTGCCTGGCACCGGCTCACACTGACAAGTGGTTTTCATGGGCTGAGTATCGGTCACTCGGTGTGTGCGTGGGGGGGGGGTTCTAGAAGGCTGTACTCACTCTTGGTGAAGCGGGGCGGGTTGTCGTTGACGTCGGAGAGGGTGATGCTGACCGTGGTGGTGCCGGAGAGCCCGCCCATCTGTCCGGCCATGTCTTTAGCCTGGATCACAACCTGGTAGTTCTCCTTGACTTCTCTGTCCATGCCGGGCAGGGCCGTCTTGATCAGGCCTGAAGAGAAATGCACTGATTTATGGTGGGAGTTTATTTACAACGAAAAAAAGAAAGCCCATCTGGTTATTTCATCGCCTAGTCAAGTGTATTTATACCGGCAAAAATCAGAGGCTCTGTAGACTCAAAATAATCTTCATTTGCTTTATTTCAGTATGTACAAAGGCATTTTCAGTTGAGATAAAATTTAATCAGCAAATATTTTAGTATTCAATAGATTGTTTGAGTCATCTTTTAAGCCAAAAAGCCATAAATCCTCTTGTTTCAGCTCTCAAGATGTGAGAACTTGCTGCTTTTCTTCGCCCTGTACGACAGCAAACTGAATATATTTGGCTTGTGAACTGAAGCGCAGACAAAACCTCTAACTCAGGGACACTTTATTGGACATTTTCCTTATTTTACAGACAAAATGATTGATCGACCAATCAAAAAGACGATCGGCAGACTAATCGATACTTAAAAGAATCATTAGCTGCACTCCTAAAAGATGTTATCAATGTTTAATTGACAACGTTTAATTTGACCTTGATGAAAATGACAGCTTTTATTTGCTTAGACGGACTCTGAGCAGCTCATTTGACCTTTTTACTCTTCGCTTTGTAAAACTGAAAATGCTTTCTGAGGTGTGCTCAACACGAGAGGACCTCGTGACCTCGTTCATCCCTCAACTGTGGTCAACATTGTCATTTTGCTGCATTAAAAATAAGGTTCGTGTGCGCAGGAACATAAGATCAGTTTAAACATCTATAGAAAATAGTCTTTTTTAAATGGAAAAATAAATAAAACTGGTGATCTTAAAATATGCAGTTTATCAGTTATTTTACAAAGTAGAGCTAGTTTTGAAAGTCATTCCCTTCAACATACACAATATTAGAAATAGCAGCTCTAAATGACATTAAACTACAGTAGGTTTGATTAATCTTTATTGACACTCAGAGTAAGTAACTGCAACAAAACACAGTTCATAATCCGACTACAAGGTGCAAACAGCAGCACAGTGCACACAGATATACTGTAACTAGAATGCATGTTCAATGAGAACAGCTCACCAAGACACAGTATGTACGGAGCATGCAGCTATAATGTTACAGCACAGTTACTGTAATATGTGCAGAATGAACAATCAACAATATACAGTGCAGCGTGGAAATAATTAATCAATAAGTGATTGAATAACGAGCAACTATTGATAATTGATTAATCATATCAATTAATTTTCAAGCACAAATGCCCAAAAATCCCTAATTACAACTTCTCAATCGCAAATATTTGCTGCTTTTCTCTGTTTTATACACGGTGGACTAAACCTATTTGGGTTTTGGTGCAGTTGTTTCGACACCAACGGCACCAAAGCTGTGTAACAAATGGTATCAACACACAATTGCTGCAAGATCCCATATAAAATATCACATGGGAGCAGCCATCATACTCCTTTCATAATGTTATTAGACCTTGAACACTTTCACAATTTTCTGATTTATGACTAGAAGCCCTTTGCACACACGCACACACACACACACACACACACACACACACACACTGCTGAGCTGCATCTGGAATTAATGCAAATGAACTAATGTGTCACAGCTTTCAGATGATGTAATCCACTTCTATGTGGTGTATACTGTTGATCTGCTATCCCCCTGTCCCCCTGAGCAAGACAACAACAGGTCTGTGTGACTCTCTCCGGGTTACTGGTTACTGATAATGGAAATATTCGTCACTTGCAGCACAAATACAGTGTGAATGCAGCTGTGACACAACAATAACATGTTCAGTATGAACAGAGCCTGTAAATAGTACATGCAGCTCTAACTCTCGTCTTTTAAACCATGCAGGTCTGGCAGGTTTGTGTACAACCTTCTCAAAATCAAGCCGCCATACGACATAACCTTTATCATAAGGTGGATCTAAAGATCCCTGTACTCACCTGAAATAGTTCTTAGAATAAGCCTGCCTGTGTTGAGGTAATGACATTTCTTTTTTTTTGATTCATGCATCTACAGGCCAGATAATTAAACCACCAGCAACATTTTACTGCTGAAAGGTCAGTTCTCTCGCCGAGTACGGGGCAGCGGCACGGAGCTCGGCGGTCACACGGGAGCACATTTTGGTGTCTGTGTCCTCGTTATTAAAATGGCAAGCGGACCAAAGGGCCCATCCAACCAAAAGACCAACCACGGCGTATCCCTTTCATTTCCTCGCGCGCAACATTCGCCTCCAGATGCATTCGCCATCATTTATCTCCTCTTTGGAATTAAGACTCTGTTAATGTTCAGCCTTCCAAGTGCAGGCGCGGTTTGCTCGCTTCTCCGCTCTGACTCGTCAGATCTCTAGCTGGAGTCAGGACAGAGACCGAGGGAAGCGGTAATTGGCAGCGAATTCAAAAGGTGTGCTCCGTCTCCCATCAGAGCCGCTCTTAAATCCTGTCTGCCATTAAATGTTTAATTTGAAGCTAAAAAAAAAAAAAACAGACAGACGTCGTGGAGCGAGAGAATAAAGATGAAAAACACAAATTTCACCCTAAATAAACTGCTTTGACAAACATCATCGCTTCCAGTGTGAATAGATGATTCACTGCATATCAAACAATAGGGAAGGAGGAGAGGCTGACGTCGGCTCATCACCGAGGCTCAGATCAGACAGGCCTGGCCCTCCGACTGGCTCTTCGCTTCCTCCCAAACACAACTCACAGACAAACACGCTGTTAAGAGAACAGCAATCATTTCAGGAAGAGGAGCAAACGTATAGCACGCTTTATAGCTCTGTGTCTCCGTCTACCTTTGTTATTGCTTAATGACTACAACACACACACACACACACACACACAGAGCAGGAGAGGGGAAAACACAAAATCCTGCTTATAATGTGATGTCCAGGCATGTCTTTGTGAAAGAGGGGATGTCAGCTTACATACCACATGTGGGATAAACCATATTACTGTTAATCCCTGCACTAATCTGCAAATGGCTTTTTTTTTTTTCTGTCGTCGTTTCCCTTTTGTTTAAGCAAAAAAGACACGAGCGGGATGTGTTCCAAAGCGCACATTAATGATTAAAACTAGCAAGCGGCTAGATTTTGGAGGTTGGTGATTTGCCACCCTCCCTACTACAAATCCCCCCCCCCCCCCACCCAGCCCGTCAGCCTGCGAGAGGAGGCAGACGTATCGGAGCTTTTGGTTCGGTTTTAAAAAAGGAAAACTCGGAGCATTCCGGGGGTAATTTTGTGATACATTTTTTTTTTTATTTCCTGCCTCCTGCTTCAGTTGGTGTCAGTGATTTGTTATGTTTGGCCAAAAGGTTGCAAAAGGTTGTAATCTTGCGGGTTCCATGTGGAGGTGGAGAGTGCAATAGCAGCAGCATCGTCAGGGCCGAAGGATGAGAGTCTTTCTTCTGAAGAAATACACATAGTCCGAAAGCAAACATCCTTTGTGGCTGCAGTGCATGCTGGTCTATTATAATATTTTCCTTTATGATGGATTTTTCTTCGTATGGGCGCTTTTGGTACGAGATGAACAAAGCAGCCTCCTGTCTTTTGCTTATGAAGGACTAACACTGAGTCATGGTTTTCACTTTTGATGTTTAGAACACTTTTCTGCAGTGAAAGATCTCAACACTGCGGAAATCTCAACTTTATCATTATGTTGCCTGTAATGAAGTCCTAAAAAAACTTGTTTTTCTCAAAAGAAGTGACAAAACAGGATTATTCTAACTTGATCCCAATGAAAATCAATTAATTTCATGTGTTTTATCGAATTTAGTTTCACTTGATTCTCTTAAAACGCTGCTCGTTTCTTCAGGACGCAGACAATCATTTCTAGAAAGTCCTTGAAGAAAAAGGTTACTTTCTCTGTTGACATCACACTTCCTACGCTAGAAAGGAGAAGCAGCACGATGGAGGCATGAACACAAAGCACAACACATACAGCTGCACGTTGAACTCGTCACTGACCGGTTTCTGGGTCCACAGAGAAGTACGGCTGCCCCTCCAGGATGCTGTACACCACCCTGGCGCTGTTACCGTACGTGGCGTCGTCTGCGTCTGTGGCTGTCACTTGAATTACAGAGGTGCCTGTTGGGGAAGGGGGGGGGGGGGGGTGGAGATGCATGACAATGATTTAGATCTACTCTTCAATACTGCTGAAAATGGCCTGCTGGATAATTGGTCAAGCTGATGTACCTTCTGATGAGGTGTCGGATCGCTCGTGCAGAATGTGACTGATCATTTCTGTCCCTTTGCATTACCCAAACCAATCTTTATCCTCGGCCACTTATAGCCGTATACATGATTGATTTTCGCGGCTAATCGATAAGTCGTAATGTATTTTTCTAAGTATATCTCTCTCTCTAAGCATACAAGCGGCACCGATACCGGCTCTCTGCAAACCCCAAGAAGCCTATTAATGTATCCACAGATCTGGAGTGTCTGAGGAGCCAAATATCTGATAGCAGGCGGACGACTGTGATCCATTTTCTCTTCCAGAGAGGCTGAAGCCCCATTTCAGTGGAACAAAGGGAAACGGTTAGCCAAGTGCTACCTCCCAAATGGCGCCTCGCGGGGCCAAGTGGTGCCTCATTACATGCAGAAGAAAATTAATTGAGTAGAAATATTTAATGGCAAAAGTGGTATAAATATAGAATCGTGCGATACAATGGGTTAACGACCCCACGAAACTTCTCTAATTCGATGTCAGCTATGATCTGTAAGGGGTGAGAGGAGAGTTTCCCCCCCCCTTTAAAAATCAATGTCATCTGTATGGATGGAGGATATGTGCGAAATCGTAAGACCAGAAAGCAGCAAGAGAAAGCCCACGGCTGTCTGATTTGGTGTAAGTGACAGTTCGGGAGGGTTCCTGAGCAAGTTCACCGAACCTTGATCACTAATACCTTTAACTAGGGAATTAGACTCAAAGAGGCTTTTCTGACACGGCGGCTTTTCGAAAATATCACTGATCCACATCAGCCATCTCATCGCCGACTTTAAGCTTTTGAGAAAAGAATATTCTGACAAAACAAGTCAGGAATAATCACAGTTTTTGTGCAGAGGTGGGTGGGGGGGGGGGGACTAAATTACGTCGACTGTAATCGTTCAGTTGTCAAAGGAGGGGCGCGTCAAAGTCGTCGCAGCCCGAGAGTCCGAGAGAAGAATGTCAGAGCCGTGACACTGTAATAACACTCAAAGTGTTTGTCACAATTAAAGGGGCAGCCTCGTGACGACGCATTCACTCGTGAACACATGCTCTGCCAAGCGGTGACATCACACCTCGGTTGTTGCCATGGGCACCCGTGCTGCCCTTAGATAAGTGCTGGCCTCTCTCTCTCAGGGTTTGCTGAACCGAGTGACAACTCTGTCACATGTCCGGGCCGCAAGACCGATGTCCCTCAGTCCCTGAAAGCTCCGCAGAACCGAGAGTTCAAACCATGTTTTCATGCAAGTATTGATTAGGGCCATTTTTATATTGTTTATCTGTATTCATGAGGCCACTGTGCACTTTTAGACTAAGCAGAAGTGCACGGTGAATTAAAGTTGAATTTGGTGCCGAATGATAACACGAAAAACAGCGAACGGTGCCGTCTGAGAAACTGGCTCTGCAGACGTGGAATCTGCAATTACTCACTGTGAAGACGCAGCTGAAGGAGCTGGTAATTCAATTAAATACTGTTTTAATAAATACAATACTGTATTTGAAAGATAATCTGCAGCAGTGCTGAAATCGTCACACAGTGCTTTACCTTGTTTATTCTCTCGTCATGAAAGAGCTCCTAGTCTCATTTAATTAGCCGGGCCCTCTTTGTTGAGTCTGCATCGTTATTATGATTGATAAAGTCCCATTGATCCAGGACGACTGGCATTTCATAACGTCTCTATCCGATTTGAATCATAAGCCTTTTAATCCAGCCACTGACACACACACACACACACACACACACACACACACACACACACACACACACCTTCAGCTGTGTAAACACTTAATTATTGTGTGTTTCATGATCAATAAACATGGTTTAACATACTAAATACAACTCTCTTAGCCTTCTGTGCACACAAAACCTATTATCATTTTGCTGTGTATGTAATTATTGTTACTATTTAATTGCTAATCTGTCTTTAATCTATTAACTCATTAAATAATGTCCCTATATAATATCTCAGGGGTGGGGGAAGGCTGTATGTTGTATACATTCAACGTGAAGAGTTCATGGACTTATGAGGAATGTTTACGGCAGGAACTCACCGATGTCGGACATTTCGGGGACCCTGGCCATGTACGGGTCCCTGGTGAACCGGGGCTCGTTGTCGTTGATGTCGTGGATCTTGATGACGAACTCGGACTGACCCTCGAGCGCCTCGTTGGTGATGCGGTTGACGGCTTTGGCGTGGAGGATGTAGTAGGCCTTCTCCTCGCGGTCCAGCCTCTTGGTGGCGTGGATGTCCCCCGAATTCTCGTCTATCTTGAAGAGGGACCCCGCTCCCTCCCCTGTGAGGACGTACCTCACGCTTCCGTCTCCTCGATCCGAATCAGAGTGAAGCTGGTGCAAAAAATATATATAAAATATAATAATGTGGATACCTGCAGCTCCCACACAACAATTTCAAGCAACAGTTTGTGGCATTTTCATTTTAATAAATTTCCACTTTGGAGCTCTCTATTGCTAATTATTATAGCGCAGCAGTGATTCAAACTTGGGCTGATGGAAGCTTTCACATTTGCTTAATGTGCTCTTATGAACACCAAGTGTCAGCTCTCTCTTTGCAGGGAGATATCTCCGAGTTGGCACGAGCAGAAATAGCCAGAGTGCGCAGCAACGTCATCTACACAAAGTCCAAGAAAGAAAGGGAAAAGAACATCACAGCGCTGGCTGCACAGTTTGATTGACAGGTGATCTCTGAGAAGTGCAGAGCGAAGAAAAGAAGACGCAATAAGCACTTTGTACCAAAGATGTCAACAAAATCTAATTTCAAAGTCGAATCACAGTTTTCCACTTAAGTACGTCTGAAACGCCACGCTCATATGAATGATCTGACCAATCTGCCTCGGCAAAGAAACGCCGACAGCTTTGATAAGTGCGTTTGGTGTTATTTAACAGATTCATATCATCTTTAGTAAACTGTCATCCCGATACACATTCGTGGCTTCACCTCGTCTCTGTGAAACTCACATCCTGCCAAGAAGAAAAACACAGAGCCGGAGCGCTTAAAATGCTGCATTCACTGGTTATTGTTACGTGCAGGTTGTCATCGTGCCTTTTTTTGTTTTTTTACTTCTACCGCAGGGCCACGGTGACATTAGCACAGTGCTGTAAAACAGAATGCCGGTGGGTCGAAGCCTGTGAAGTACCAGCATGAGTGCGCGCACGTCCGCCGCCTGCCAATCCCTGATGGATCAGCAACATGACCAACATGCCAGAGGAGCACCAGAGTCCACTTGTCTGTGGAGCTTCTCATTAATATTTGCTCTCTCTCTCTCTCTCTCTCTCTCTCTCTCTCTCTCTCTCTCTCTCTCTCTCTCTCTCTCTCTTTAATTTTTTTCCTTTTTTTGTTCCTGCATGAACAGCAGCTTAGCATGCGCTGACATTTTAATTCCACCACCAAATCCTCCCCCCCCCCAACATATTTATCTCTGAGAACTCATCAAAAGCTTGTCCAGTCGTGTCCCCTCCCACTGCGTCCCTGCCTACTTCGCGTTTCCCGGTCTTTAATAAGGGACATGGTAATAACAGCAGGGTGGGAGGTGAACGGCAAAAAGGCGGGCACGTGTTTGCAAAGTACAAACCGAGGCAAACGCCATTTGAACGTTCACTAGCACGTGATTCCGGAGTCCGTGGATGACACCTCGAGTGAGCCGGCGCGTTTGATTGCGACGGTTTGAATGCATGTTTTCCTTTGAGCGCGAGATGTTGCCGTGCGTACATGCGTTCTTGGCTCTGCCGGCGGACAGACTGAGGGGGGATATTGTGCGTTGCAGCTGGGTCACGTGGGAGCACATTGCAAAGTCTCCCTTCTCATCATATATTAAAAAGCTTTTCATCCCAGGTGCTGGGGAGCTTTACTAATTCATGCTGTTATATCACGGTAAAGCTGGCACATGTGAGAAGAACAGCTTTGTGGATTAGCATCTTTAACACTATTTTGTTCGCCTGCTTGAATGCTGGTAAAAATGACTGTTTTCATTCCTTTCTCTGTCTGTCTAACCAAGCCAGCCGAGTGTGTTGCAGAATTTCAGCATTTTTCGGATTAGGATCTAGAGCGGAGCACTGTTTCATTAACCCACTTGAAGTCTGGTCAAAACAATCCTCTTTCTTTTCTGTCTAACCAAGCCAACCAAGGAGAACATCCTGCAGAATTGTATTTGTTTTCTATTCTGCTTTACAGTACGTGCTTCCAACAGAGACTCAGTTGGCTGAAAACAATCCACTTCAACATTATTATCTTTCTCCCGCTGCTATAGCTGCAATGTCCTTTTCTATGATTGTCTATCAAGCCGCCTATCTCTGCCGGCACGACAATTCAGTTAATAACCGTTGAGTCCTCTCCTTTCGGCTGAGATGCGAGATAGACGGTGTGACTGTGTCGACTGTCATTTCTATGGAAACAGAAAGATCTTGTGGTTCTGAAGAGTTCCTCCTCACACCCCCTGAAGGATATTTCAAGGCAGCTGAGAGTATCGAACTCCAGCGCCTGCTGCAGTGACCTCGTCCCTCCCAGCTGCTGAGGTGAATTTACTGCAGCCCTTCCACTCAAATTAAGAGGAAAAAAAAACCTCTCCCGGAAATCAATGTGGCAGGCCAACGTGCATTCACAATGGCCCTTTGATCAATTTATATCGGAAATACAATTAAACTGTCACGGGGGGGGGGAGAAAAGAAAGCCACATGTGCATTCAGTATGGTCACCAAGAAGCTCTGGCACATCAATAGCTCGCCTCTTCTCCTTTGCCCTCCTGTGGTAGCAAATCGTAAAAAGAGGCAGAGAACATGACGCGATGTTCATTAACACGGGGACTTTTGGTCTTTTTGTAAAGGAAGAGGACACTGCAAAACATCTCCATCTTATTAAGTCATTCTGTCTAGAATAGTGGCCGAAAAGCCTTATTTTCTTACAGGAATAGTTTGACATATTGGGAAATGTGCGTATAAGCTAAATATAAGGCTCCAACCAGCAGCTACTTAGCTTAGCTTAGCATTAAACTATAGTGTTTGTAAGGATGAAACAAAAAGATACAACATGTTAATAAGTGAGTGTTACACTCTTAGAAATAAAGGTGCTAATTGGATCCATAGAGGGTTCTTCGGCTTGTCCTCATAGGAGAACCCTTTTTGGTTCCTGGTAGAACCCTTTGTAAAGGCTACTACAGGAACCCTTTCAGTGGGTTCTACCAAGGAACCAACATAAAGGGTTACACCTTGAACCATATCGTGAACACAAGAACCCAATACCGAAAATATTTGTATATTCCAAGGTTTTCATGTAGAACCCTTATGGGTCGGGGCTGACGTGGTGCAGCAGTTTTTGGGGCTGTGTGGGCTTAACACATGCTTTCAACAACCCTTGAAGAACTCTCCCCTGCCCTACAAAGAGACCCTGAACAACTCTTTCTTCAATAAAAGGGTTCTTCAGAAGCAAATTATTCTGGGAAGAACCTCAGCCCTTCAGGAAGAACCTGCTTGGGACCTTTATTTCTAGTACAGGGAGGTGCTGGTAGTCTGATTTTGTGACCTTTAGAGACGGCTAAGCTCACTGGTTATACTCTTTATGCTAACCTAAGCTAACAGGCAGCTTGTGGTAGCCTCAAACTTACTGTACAGACACCAGAGTGATATCAATCTTTTCAACTCACTAAAGCCTATTTACCAAAATGTCAAACTATTCCCTTTCCTCCTTCAAAACAAGTGAAACAGTCAGCCGTTGCAGAGGCACAATATTTCAAACTGTTTGCAACAGAAAGTGACTTTTTTCTAAAAATCTGTGTCTTTATCTTGAGTGGCAAAAGATCAAGGGAAGTTGCGCCACTCAATCTCAGATTTGTATTGTGAATCAACGGTGAAGCGAACTATTGAGGCTGTACTTAAACCCTCATATCATCAATGACATGCTATATATGTTGAAACCCTTCCACTCAATTAGCCTTCTCTGCAGAGTGATACCATGCAATTTCCAATGGTTGGCATTTTTTCCACTCTAGAAGCTTTTTTTGCTTCATCTTCCAGTTTGAAGTGGGCTGAGAAGTGAAGTGGTACTCATCAGACATCTGTGTGTGAGAACTTAGAAACGAGCTGTCTTTGTTTGTGAAATTAATCAGCTTCAAGTGCAGCAAATGTTAGCGCAGACTCGATCTGGCCACCATTTGTGCATCACTCGAGTTAGGCCAAAAAGATGGCTCTGGAAATGGGCTGCTTAGGGCAATTAGCCAGTTAGCCTTTAAGGCCTTGTGTCCTGGCCTGTAGAGAACTGGCTGCCTTCTATGTAGCCAGATGGTAGCCTCAGACTGTGCACAAAAATAGCCTATCAAATGTCTGTTGATGTGTAAACGTGAGATATGTGGTCAGAGCTGCAGAGACTTAAAGGTGAAAATGTCAGTTAACATATATTTCTCTCTTGTGGACATCTGACATCTTTGGTTTTGTGTCCCATGCATAATATCCAGCATGTTACGAGCATTTCCGTTACGAGCATTTCTCAACAGTTTGTATTCACTTTGCTGCAGGGCCGGAGCCTGAGCGGTTGGTTCTGGGTATTTGTGTGATTTTAACAGCCTGAATAGTTGTTCACAGTGTACAATGACGCACAGACTGCACATGGTGACCTTTTAAGGCTGATACTGCTATTCATTTCAGACTCACAATTTAATTTGACATTATAACACAGAAAAAAAGTGTTTTCTGAGAACGTTTTTCTTTAATTGTGTTGTAAAATTATTTCAACTAGTTTCAAATCTAAAACAACCTGCATTTTGCATTACCCATCATTTTTGTGAGGTATAGATATTGTATAGATATACATATATAAAAAAATTGATAGTTTTTGGAAAATCCTCAAGGAAAGTTGATCACAGATGGAAAGAAGCTGAAACATCAACCGTGTGTCAGAAGACTTTTGCTATTTTCAAGAAAATTTTGAAAGATAATGTTTATGTGACGTTGGGATTTTTTGGTGTGCAGCTTAAAAATTAATAAACTAAATAATGTTTTATTTAAAAAGGCTTTTTAAAAATTGCTAAGACCATTGTTTAGAATTATAAAAAATAAAGAAAATATGATTAAACGAGTATTAAAGAATATATAATATTCCCGAAACTTTTACTTATTTTGTCAAACAAATATTCAGGGGTTGTGTATCTAAAATCCCGGCCACAGCCTTACTTTGCTGTCATATCTATTTGCCCCTCAATTAAATAAAACTTGATCAACTGACTACTTGATTGCAGAGACAAAGCCAGAATGTTTCATGATAGAAAATCAATTAATCTCACACTGAGAACACCAACAGGTGTTTGAAACAGCAGTAGGCAGGTGATAGCACGGAAATAATTGCGAAAGCGATGCGACGACGTCGTCGTATCTCGCTCAGACATCGCTTCGCCCCTGCGATGTTGTCAGACAGATGTTTTGCCGGGCCTCGTCGCCGCATGACCTCATCACACCCTTTCCACCGCCGCTCACGGTGCGAAAGGAGAACAGCGTAATTGAAGTCGCCCCCTCCCCCGGCGCACAAGCGGGAACTTATCGCCTAATCAACAAACACTGCCAATGTGTGCTCCAGGTCGCCGCAGGGATCGCCATGGCTCGGGTACAGCCAAGCCTTTGCCATATTGCAAACTCCTTGCCTCTTTGCCAAGGTGAGCAGCTGGTAATGGGGGGGGGGGGCATGAACAGAGACCAAAAATCCCTCCAACCCCCGACAAACAAACACAAACAAACTAAATCCCTGCACCTTTCCACTCTGCTGCCGTAAGATGCTTGAGTCCTTCCCCCGGGTCGCCTCAACCGCTGAGTCATGCAGGACTGGGAAGAATATTATGTCTGTGTTCATCTGTCCTTTTTCTCTTTCCTCTGATTTCCAGCCCATTACTGGAGGCTAGTGTTGCAGACGTGTGTGTGTGTGTGTGTGTGCTTGTTCACGTACAGAGAGCATTGCTCACTTGCTAGGGACCGTGTTGAGGAGTCTACCCAGCAGACCCAGAACCACTGGGGCCTATCAGGGGCTGTAAATACTTTATGAGATATGATAGTACAGCACAAACACTCCTAAACCACAGGCCATTAACTATTTTCAGTGGATATGTGCCCTTTGGTAAAGGAAGAAATAATGAAATAAACAAACATTCTCTTCCCCCAGTGACAGCCCGGGCCCTGCGAGGCCTGTATGCAGCTCGCCTGCTAATGAGAGGCAATGTGCGATTTCCCTCCTGCAGGAAAAAAGAAATCATTGGCCAATACAGCAAGATGAGCAAGATTAGCAGCCAACCAGCTCCACAACAAGCCGGCACCAGAGTCCCCCGTTTCCCCCTTCATCTCCATCGCTTCCCTTAATTCCTTCCTGTTCCGACTGCTTTTGTTACGCTTGTTCAGGAAAGATTAAACTTTCATTTGTTTGCACTTCACAACTCGATAAAGCTGCCGTGAAAATAATGAAAGGAAGAAAAAAAAAAAAACAGGTGGGGGGGGTATTTGGATTGAGTTTACCAAATAACTGGAGACGGGATGTTGTAATTCAAGTGTAGTTTCATCATTCTATCTTTTACTGTGTGTCAAGAGCTGCTCCCTTGTTTATAATAACCTGCAATTGTGTTATTTCCAATTCGTTTTTTTCACCACAAACAGTGCTGTGTTCTCCGGTTGCCATGATGCCGCTTTGCAATGACAAAAGCTTTTCCTTTTGTGCTTCTGCCGGAGTTTTGTCTTCTTTCTTTTCTTCAGAACCCGGCACATTGTGGGAACGTGGCGTCCACCTGGCGATACAGGTGGTTATTCTCCACGTTTGAGGCACGTGTTCCAACTCAAACAGCCATTCATTCCGTTCAGGGCGCCATTCATTGCTTGCACTTTATCAAGCAATTAACAAACAGTAATTGCAATCAGATAAACTCCACGCACTGCGATGCGATGTGACAACTGGCTAGTGAGCTGACAATGAGGAGAAGATCCCAGCTGCATGTACTTGTGGGGGGTGACGGGGGGGACGGGGGGGTGCAACGAGCGCTTGGAGCCATGATTAAGTGTGGCGCTGGAAGGGTTGATGCCTTAATAGCATCTTCAGGAGATGGGCTCTCAGGCCAAAGCCTCTGGCTCTCTAAGTGTACAACACTCAGATAATCCATTCTTCTTTTGCTATTAGTCATTTTACAAGCTAAAAGGACGAGTGGCACATCAATCACCACTCTCTGAAGCCAAAGTGGTTTGATCGTGCTCGGTACTTACTTTTGATCTTCATTCACTCTGTGTGTGTTGTTGGTTTTTTTGTTGGTTCATTTCAACTTTTTTTTTTTTTTGTTCTGGCTCGTATTTGCCCGTGTTGTAATCCTTTTAACTGAGAGTCGACCCTGCACTCCGGGAGGACGTATGTTGCAGAATCTCATTTGGCTGGATGACTCTATCCTCCGTGGACGCACGATAGGAATGCAAAGCACCGGGGCCCATTCAACCGCTCGCACAAAACAGCCTTTCTTCCTCCTCAGCCGTCCTGACCTTGCCACGACGCCTCACAATCTCCTCAATTACAGTAGGTTTGGAAGAGGAGACTGATATCTTGACTTCCGCTCCGCTGCATGTAAAGCAAGCATTATTTGGCCCGTCTTCTTGTACACCCCCCACCCCAATGTTATCTGGGTCGACGTTGTGTTTTCATTTTGTTGAACAAATAATACCTTGGGAGGAAGTCGCGTTTGACTGTAGGGCGAGACGGCCTGCTTTAGGACGGCTTGATGTGAGCGGAATAGACGTCGTGCAAGCGGCCACAGAGCTGACGGTAGGCACAAAATACATCGGACAGCCAGCAGCCAACAAAGCCTGAGGATGGAAGTCTGATATATGAGCATCAGCCGATCGGAGAATCCCGTCATGTCGACTCTCCGTTGATGGGGGGGGGTTATGGTACTCTCAGAGACAGTAAGACACACTCGTAGGCAGGATGTTATTTATTTTGAAGCATCTCATTAAGAGCAGATCTCCGAGTCTGTAACGGACGATCGTGTTATCTAGAAAGTCATTATGCTGCAAAGAAAAGACACAGCCCGTAGTAAGCTTTATTCCCCCTCTGTAGTGCTATTATAGAAAATGAACTTTTTCAAAATAGTTGCATCACAAATTCAGATTTTTGTGTGACTGTAAAATGCAAATAAAGCAATATCTGGTGAAATTTGCATTCATTTCGATTGATGGATGGGGAGGATGTATCTTCATGAATATGTATTGACAAGGCAGACCATAATGAGACTTCTTTTATTTTTTATGCACAAAAAATGGCAACTTTTTAAATGTCGGCGTGTGAAAAGTTCAAGATGTGTCGTGTGGACAGTGGCTTCGGGGAAAACAAATCCCAGAACATTAAGCAAACGCTACACATGGAGGAAAATACACAGACTGAGAGAGAGAGGGACTGCAGGAGACGGAAAGCTGTAGATTTGATGCACCAGCTACCAACTTATTTGTTGTTTGTGAGACGGACGTGACGAAGGAGGCTCTCGGCGAGACTGTCAACCACCGCAGACTGTCCTCGGAGCGTCAGCGTCTGCAGCCTTAAGTTGTGGTTGTGACTTTTTCTTTACAACCAATGTGATCATCATTAAATTGTGTACTTGCGAAAACAAATATTTATCGTCTCTCAATGTTTGCTTTCAAAGTGTTTCAAATGTTAAGTTCTATCAAAAGGAGCCCTGCAAGAAATCAGCTTAAAAAAAAAGCCAAAACATTTCAATCAGGAAGTGATTTGATCAAAGAATAAACAAACACGATTACCAATCTGACCAGACCAACGTCTCTCTGCAGACTCTTTGATTCCCAGCCCTTCTGTGGTTAGAAGACGACAGTGTGACAAGACATACAAAGAAAGCTGACTGATCACACATGTTTGACATGTGTTTTAAGGGTTATTGGTGTGCGGTCCTTTCATATTGTCACTATCCATCTCCTTATGTTTGATTATTGTGTGTAAATTTGGTGTCAGATGAGCTGATCTGAGGGTGGACTCGATGGTCTCATGGAGCTGCTGTGTAATCACTGGTATAACACGGCATGTAGGTGAATGTGTGTGTGCAGAGTAAAGTATGCTCTTTACCTTCCCGACATACTGGTTGTCTGACCCCATGTACTCCTCCAGCAGAAAGAACTGGTTCCACATCCAACCTCGCTTGGAGCGCCGGAGCGGCACTCCGTTGGCGTCTTGTCCCGTCAGCCCCGCGGACCCCCTCCGCCCCCCTGTAGTCCTCCGCAGGGCCCTGAGCCCGTGCCCCTGAGAGCTGAGGCTGGCCACGGCCCACAGCACCATCAATACGCAGACTTTCCTTCTATCCATGGCCACACCACCACAGCCTTCCGTCTTCTCCCCCACTCAGTGGTCCGCGTCCCGGTGGTTTTTGGTCAGAGTATCGGATCAGTCCACATGCTGTAATCTACTGAAGCAGGAAAGGCTCCCCGGACTCACATGGGGCGGAAAAACGGCACCTGGAACATTTACAGAGAAAAACAGAGTGTCAATACTGGGAGGAGAGGCGCTTGTTTTCTTTCCTAACCCATGGTCAAAACCAACTCAGTGGAGTTTCAGGCTTTCTGAAGATGCAGTATTTATTAAATGGAGTTCAGTGCACATGGGGAGTGAAAAAGAACAAAAAACACTCCTTGAGATGTTTCTCTAAAGATGTGCTTTGTGTATTAAAACCATCTATACAGTCGATGGAAGCATACACATTGATAACAATAAGTAAACCATGAACAAACACCGTAAACGAGGAATGAATACAGTAAAAGACAAACCACAGAACAGCGAGACTGGTTAAATAAAATCAATTGACCAAAGTTAATTTCAAATCCTTCACGTTGTCCTTTCTCCCGTTCCTGTGCCATCCTGTGAATCTTGACATTTTCTCTCTCTCGTTTTCTGAAATTAAACAAGTTTCCACTTTCCACACACTGCAATTATATATCTGAGGTGACCTTTGACCTATGGCATCACTTGATAAAGCCTGCACCAAAATCCAAGAAAAACGCACAAATTATTTAATAAAAGCATTAAATCAAGATGTGCGATGTTTGGCTGATTATGAAAAACACATCAAACAATTATTATGCCTGCTATCCTTTTGTCTCCCGGGGTGAAGGTGGCGCTCTACGGCTTCGCTTCGTCGCTCGGTGCTCGCTGTGTCTTCTCTCCCTGCGGGGAGGGGAGGACCTCCCTGATCCCTGCGCGACTGTCAACCGGGGTGCGATGATTGCACCTCACCTGACGCGTCTTGAAACATCATCCGTGCATGCTTGTTCACCCCTTCTTGTTTACCCTATGCGTTTACCATGCTTTGTGGGCGTGTCTTTTTTTGGGCCGTGTCATCATCGATACAGCCAATGTGTTTATTCAATTCTTTACTGAAGCACAGAGTTCATCATACCCTCTTAATTTGATGCATTAAACTTGAAAAGCAGATATGCAGACAGATAAAATGCAAGCGCTGGAGAGCAGATCTGAAATCTGTCACACACACACATCCACACAAACACAAGCCCTGATATACATGCATGTGCACACGCGTACAGTATGATGACTGTCAGTCATCTGATTGATTGGCAGCCTGACCTGATAAATATCAGATTAGGAATATTACACACCGGTGTATTGGCTCACATGTTGTACAGCATGTGTAAATGTACTTTATCTGCATTAAGCCCCTGAATCAACATCTAATAGAGTACAAGGCTCAACGCAGAGCGGCCCTTTCTATCTTTTTGAACAATCTGCTTTGGCACACTTTGTTATCAGACCCAGCAGAACGCCGATGGAGACCCTGGGCAATGTCAACCCCAGTTTATTACCTTAAGATCAGTGTAAAGATACTGAACAAAATGACTGTTTGCAAACCACAGAGACGGGGAACTGATGTGAGCAGTGGGATATGTCCGCTCTCCGCCTCTCAATCACTTCTCCCACCCATCTCCTCTCTCTCTCTTTTTATCCTCTTGTCCGCCGTCTTCTCAAAGGCCGATGCAGAATGCGCTGGCAAATGTGTGAAGGGAACGGAACAAGAGGAACAGAGCAGTGGAGGAGGAGAAGGAGGGGTAGAAAAGAATGAGAATGAAGGCCATGTATTCTGCTTTTGTTCCCATTATTCCTCCCCGGCTGGCCGATATCCAGGCCGCCACTGTTCCATCGGCTGGGGTTTTGGTAGGAGGGGTTATCAGGGGGTCCGCTGGGGAGCGTCTGCAACGTTCCTCCGTATCGCACGTTCTCAGAAGGCTGGTTGGGAAAGGGGGGGTGCAGTCTAGCCCCAATGTATGTGCAAGTCTGGTCGACCCTTCCTGGCACAGTGTGTTGGGGGAATGAAAAAAAGGGTGTCTTTTGGAACATGAATTAAGTACCCTGACCTGCATGAGGAGTGGAGTCAGACACACTGAAGGGAGCGAGGGAAATGGAGCGAGAGAAGAGGAAGTGAGAGGAAAAGGTGCCGGCTTAGGGGAGTGGAAGCAGCAGTCCTGTCACAATACCACAAATCTGTCTAAGTTTAGTATCTGAAAAACACGATACAGTAGAAATAAAGAAAAACCATCAAGCGGTGTCACAGAACAACCACGGAGCTTTTTACAAACAGATGTCTCACCATCGACTGGGAAAGCTGTCGGCCGGGTGTCTTTGTGGGCTCGATGAACAAAATACAGTAACTGCATATTTCACTCACTGCGCCAGTCTGTCAAGCTGTTTGCGGTTCAAAAACACGACGGAGGGTTTGATACGGCGGATAGTCTTTGTCTCCGTCTTGTTCTGGCAGGGGTTCACAAAGACAGTTTTTACCATCTTGTTTGCGTTCACTCAAGCTCGTCCCAAAGTGCACCAATGGCACAGAGTCCACCATCGTGTGAAGATGCTTGTGAAATGTTTTTTTGATTTTTTATGAACAATGCCGTGGTGTACCTCGCTGGTGAAAAGAAGAGAAGTCTCACAATGAGCTGCAGAACAGAGAACTAGTTGTGTAGTAGCATCTCTCTTCTCTTTTGTGTACATTGTTTTCAGGGCTGCAACTAACTGATTTTCTAATGGTTTGCCTTGTTTTGTCAGACAGTTTAGAAATATAAAACAGAGGAAAACAGCAAATTGTTGCTGGAAATAAAGCCATTTTTGATAGACGTCATTTACAATTGTGCACGTCTGAGTTGAGCTCGGATAATCTTGGCCTTGAAAACAAAAAAAGCACACAACTGTCTGCTGTTCGGGTTGCCTTTGTACGGTGGCCCGACAAGGGCAACAAGCGCGCTACGACGGCTCCAATAATTTCCATTAGGGGCAACGTGCTGCAGCTTCAGAAATAGGAACAGAGTGTTTGTTCTCCAAGCGGGAGGAAAAGTGGGGTACAACGTAAAAAGGTACGTATTATTTTTCACATTTGGCCCTTAGTCGTCTAGAATACCATGAAAGAGCAACAAATCAAGCTGTTCCACTTTCTGCAGCACATTCTCTTTTTCCATTTTCATTGGTGATTTTGGAGTTTTGCATGTTTTTGAATTGGCTTGTATTGGGTTGGGTTTTTACGCCCTCGAGATGGGATTCTTTCAGCATTTTCTCCCCTTGACACACTTGCTAAAAAGTTACCCTGAGGACACTAAGGGGCAAACGGGGAGAGAGGTGAGTGAAGGAGAGGTAGAAACGTCCTGTCAGAGCAGCGTCAGCAGTCAGGCCGGGAGACGGGCCCATCCATTACGCTACCTGTCTTCCAGAGGCAGCCAAGGCATGCCCTGCTTTCCCCTTATGAGGCAAATTGCGAGCGGTTGAAGCTGGAGGTTAGGTCCCCTCTTTCTCTTTTCCCAAATGCGTTGCTGTTTATAGCACACACAGCCCCCCCACCCACCCGCCCTACCGTCCTGTCTCCACACCCCCATCCCCCCCCTGCCGCTGTGCCTACTTTGCTTGCATAGGCCTGAGCTGATATGCATTATCGCTGGGCTTTTCGCTGAAAGCCAGTCACTTTGCATGTGTCCTCTGCCGGGCTCAGCATGGCGAGAGGGGTGGGGGGGGTGTGGAGGGAGGACTCCCGGGTCATCGGTGTGTGTGCTGATGGAGGCAGGTGAAAGTGAGATGGACTGTCAGGCTTCTTAATAACGCCCGTAGAGGAATAGTCTCTCACCACTCTCTACTTTCACTAAGCCGCAACTCTCATGGCAGAAGCTCTGTTTCCTATACAAATTTGCTACATGACTGGATGCCCCCCCCCCCCCCCTCTTCCTCATATTATTTCCTTTTTATTTTCCTACCCCAACTCCCAGCGCACTCGACTTCATGAATTTACTTAATTGACGTCGGTGAGGAGCATGTGGGACTTTGAGCTATTGATTTGCTGTAGGCTTCGGCATAGTTGGAAATACCAGTCGGTCTCTGGGGTGGACTCATGAAGCTTTCTACCTCGAGTCCCCCCAGCACTGGGAAGCCGGCCCTTTTCAATAGATTTCTTCATAATGTCACCGTGGAAAGCTAATGCTTTCACTGTATGGAGGGCTCCGCCGTCCCCACGGAGCACTCGCCCCTTGACCACATCTGTCATACCCCGGAAGCCTTATTGTACAAGTCCCTGCCCTGATAATTCTCTTGACAAGGGACCACGACCGGGAGTAAGTCAGCTAAAGCTTTATTTTGCAACGTCAAAAAATGTCACAGCCGGTTAAGAAATGCTGCGGTGCCACATGTAGCCCGGTGGCTACAACAAAATGTCTGCCTCACATTTCTACTGTACGAGAGGGACGTTGGAAGAGAGATGGAGGGAGGCGTACCAATTTAATTCACGACTTGGATCTTATTCGTGACTCCTGTTGGCACCAAGTTAATTACTCAGATTTATAATGACAATATGGACTTATCAACACTGCTAAGAGGACGCGTGATAGGTCACGAAACACCAGCAGTGAGACAATCAGAAACGTTCTTAGCTAATTCCCGGTTTAGCCGCACTAAATTGGATGCGAAAAATATTCCGTTGTAAGCGTCCATCACCGTTTACAGACTTAAGTCCAGGTTGAACTTTGGCCCACCGCAATTGCTGTTGTTGCGCGGCACACAGTTTCATCGCTGATCATTAACGACATTTTCGGCTGCGCTCACTTTCGGGTTTCCCCTTCTGTTTCTTGCCCCGTCGGATTTCATTGCAGCAAATGTCACTTTGTTGCCAGATCTCCGCAATTAACACGATGAGTACAACGTTGCTGAAAGCCAATGGGGGGAAAAAACAAACTGCAAACGCAGGTTGTAATACACTTTGAAAGGAGCGAGGCTGTGTGACCATGACAGGGAAAGTGCCAAAGAAAGAGTGAGCATGTTCTTTTGTTCACAGCCCGTCGCTGGAGGAGCCACAGGTCTCGTCTTTTCCACGATCGCTTTCTCAGGGAGCACTGGCGTCATAATGAAGGTGTGTAATAGAACATGACACCGTAATTATATTCTCCCAGTTAAGAGGCAGTGTTTACAACAAGCACGA